GCTACCACAGGCTTCCTTTCTGAAATAACTGCTTTTTCCTTATGGTTGGAGGACTTCTCTCAGTTTATCAATGGAAGAATCTTCTGTGGACACAAAAGCACAGGCCTGTAGTCCCAGTTACTCAGAAAACTGAGGCAAGAGTTTTAGGCTTGAGCAACCTGGGAAACACAGTGAGACCCATCTCTTAAAAAATGTATGGGGCTGGAGAGATGGCTCAGTGGTTAAGATCACTGGCTGCTTTTGCAGGGGACATGGGTTCTATTCCCAGCACCCACATGGCAGCTAACAATTGTCTGTAACTCCAGTTCCAGGGGAATCCAACACCGTCTTCTGACTTCATGGGCATTGCAGGACACAGGTGCACTCACATACACGCAGGCAATACATTCATACACATAAAATAAAAAATAAATATTTTTTAAAATGTATGTATGTGCAATGTCAGTTTCTCTCTTTAACACTTAAGTGACTGTGTGCTAGCCATACCTTTCCCCATTTAGGGGTACCTGACTGATCTAGTTAAGTGATCTAAAGACACTTCATTCTTTATGTTGTATTTACTCTAACACTCTCTACTTGTGGACATTTTGATGCCTTTGTTATAAGCAATGACCTATTATCACTGTTCACCTATCATTTGGTACACACATGGGTCTACAGAGGAAATACTGATAAGTGGAATCATTGGGTCAATGTAAATTGTTAAAAATATGATAGGCACAGTGATGGGCACCTGCAATCACTTGGGAGGCAGAGGCAGGAGGATCACTTGAGCCCAAGAGTTTGAAGCCAGCCTGTGTAACAGTCTCAAAATATGTTTTTTGATAGTTATAATACTTAATTTCCTTCTTTCAAAGTTATGCCAATTCACACTCCTCCACCATATGAGAATGCCTTCTTCCTTCTTCCTACAGCTCCATCAAAGCAGCTTGGTGGTTATTTTAAAAAGTTTCTCACTATAGTTCAACATGTGTTTTGCTTCCTTGCCTACAGCGATCAGCTCTTCATGTGGCAAGCGCTGGGTCATGTGACTTTCCTTCCCTGAATGTGCCATGACCTTAGCCCATCTTCCCATGACATCACTGGCTTTATGGGGCTTTGGGCCTCTTTAGGAAATGAGCCCTGTGTGGTACAAGTTGCAAATATTTCTCCCCACTAGCTTGCCCTTGTATTTCTCTTATTTTATTTTGCCAAGAATACATAGCATGTAATTATGTAATTGCATTTCTTAATCTTATCTTTTATGATGTCTGGGGCTGTGAGCTGCTAAACAAGCCTCCTCCACATCACAATTATAAATAAAAGTGCTCATGTTTTTCTCCATCTTTGTGGCCTTATTTTTTACATTTAAGTCTTTGCATCATCTGGAATTTGTTATTACAGAGGAGTGAGATCCAGCCATATTTTTTCCAGCTGGAGACCCAGCTGTCCTGACACCATGATCCCCTTTCCCCACAGACACAGGGAGCCTGCTGACAGTTCAGTGCCTGTTTTAAAATCTGTCTTTCCACCTACAGTGATCTTTCCTGTGCCTGTGGTATTTCTGACTTACAGTCTGTTTTTCTCCCCATCTTTCTTGGCAATCTGTTTTGCATACAAGAATATGGTCATCTTATTCCTCCATGTCCACAGGGTATGGCTCCAGGACCCCATGGAGCTCTATAGGACTCCAGGAGGAAAACAAACTCCCCAGACCCTCAGGTTCCATATATAGAATGGTGTAGTATTTGCATAAAGCCCATGTATATCCTCCCATAGACTTAAGCCATCTCTACATGCCCTGAATTGATACCTAGCACAGAACTGTGAGACACATAATTTGCCACTGTGTGTTACACGAATGTGTTTTGGCCCACCTTGGCTCTGGTATCATTCTTGTGGAAAGTAAGGATTTATTACAGATGGGCAGATCAGAGCAGTCAGAGTGCTGTCTGGGAGACAGCCCTTAATCCTATATGCTATATCAAAGCTTCATGTGAGGTTGCAGAGATGATGTCATAGCGTACAGGGAATGGTAGGGAGATGAAAAGGAAGATAAGAAGCCCCTAGCTTGAGGGTTTGATGGGACAAGGTGTGGCGGCATCAGATGAAGGATATGCTGAGGTCAGAAGGGTAGGACCCCTTCTGATTAAGAAATGCTCACTTCCATGTAGGTGGGGCCATGAGAGGTAAACATGCCTGCAGGGCAGCCAAGTAGAGAGAGGATCTAAACTTGAGCTTCTCAGGACAGTCTGAGGTGTAAAAGTAGACTCCCCTCCAGTTACCCAGCTCAAGGGAATGGCAAAATCATTCTGCTGCCTGAGGATAGAAGCAGTGACTCAGGACATTTTATGCCCCTGCTTCTCCCTCGGGACTCCATACTCAATCATGTACTCACCCAGCTTTTGCCTCCCATTAGCATCTTTCCCATGGATCTGATCTTCTGTTGCCTCTGCCTTGGTGGAGGCACTCACCCACTTTTGCTGGAAACACTGCAGTGTGCCCCCATTGTCAATGGGATACCTGCTACAGTTTGCATCTAAGCATCTTCCTTGTAGCAAAGGCTTGCTCCCCAGGATGCTGCTACCAGTAGTGGTTGGGCCCAGCTGGAGGTCTTTTTTTTTTTTTTTTTTCTGGTCTCCCTGTAGCCCTAGCTATCCTGGAACTTGCTATGTAGACCAGGCTGGCCTTGAACTCAAAGAAATTCACCTGCCTCTGCCTCCTGAATGCTGCAATTAAAGGCATGGACCACCATGCCAGGCTCCAGCTGGAGGTTTTCAGGTTACTGGAGTGAAGCAGATTGAAGCAGATTGTGGGACTTTGATCCTTTCTCTTTTCTCTCTTTTGCTTCCTAGTCATGAGGTGAGTAGTTTTGCTCTGCTACATGCTCCTGAAACATTGCCATCTGGCATCCCCACCAGAGAGAGAGACCTAAAAGCAACAGATCTGCCTGCTCACGGGCTGATATTCTAAAACTGTGAGCCAACACCTTTTTTCTTTATAAGTTCATTATTCAGGTATTTATTTTCTCATTTATTTATTTACTTGTTTATTTTGTGTGTGAGGAGCATGTGTGCCACCTTAGGCATGGAGGTCAGAGAATAACTTGTGGGAGTCTGTGTCTCCTTCCACTACTTCTGGGGATCAAATTTAGGTCTTCACACTTAGCAACAAGTGCTTTTACCTGCTAAGCCATCTTCTTGTCCCAGATATTTGTTAATTTAAAGCAATGGAAAACTACTAACACACCTCTCTGGAATATGAGTAGCTGAATATATGGTTCTGGTAATCAAGAAGCATCCTACTGGGATGGGGTGTAGCTCTGTGGTGGAACACATGCCCAGCAAGGCCCTGAGTTCTGTTCCCAGCATGACAACACAAATAAAAGCATCTTTCTGGTAGGCATTACATTCTTCCTTTGAAACAGCTGTCCTTCCCAGGAGCCCACCCTCATCATCTATAAGCTGCAGTGCTTCCTCATCTTCAGGGCAATTGGGAGGTCTCCTTAGGACTGCTTTGCCTTCTGACACAAGCTGAGGGGACATTCACCAGCATCTGCACAGGACACCTGGCCACAGTCTGGCTGCACACTCCCAACACTCCCAGCCTTTCCTTTTGGTGTGCTCCTCTTTCTTCTGAAATAACCCCTGAATGGAGCTGCTCTCAGAATCTTGTCCATTCTGCAGGCATTTTGAATACCCCTTTGGTCCTCAAAAACATGTTCTTCTCTTCCCTCAACTTCAAGCTACCAAATACTGGAAGCTTCACTAATCACCTCATGTTCTGCCTGGTGTTATCAGATTTTCCCACCATCCTCTCAGAAGGATGTGCCTCCCAGAACTCAGTGCCTATCACTTCCAGATCACACCTCAAGAAGTCTTCTGAACCTACACAAACCTCCTGTGCAAAACTCCATAAGAATTAATAAAGGGTTATTTGGTTTGGTCCCTCATGGAACCAACTTAACTATGTACCTGGAAAAAAATTAAGTGCCCAAAAGATATTTGTTGCATATGAAATGCTGGAAGAGCCAGTAAGAGGAAACGGGATTTCTTCAAATGACATGGCAGACCTTTGTGGAAACAACTGCTCCCAACTCAAGTTACTCCACTTGCCCGCCACTTGCCCAGTCTTAAGCCTGCCTCTCCTGATTCCTCCCTTCACACCTGGACCCCTAGACTTCAGCCCTACCTAGCCTGCCCCGCCCCGCCCACTTGGTGTACCAAGCCCCACCCCATCAGCTCCATCCCATCCCACTTACTCCACCCAGCCCCATGCAACCTGCTCAATCAGGCCCTGCCTTACAGGTTTTGCCACGCCTAACTTGTCCCCTCTTCCCCTTATCACATTTGCTCCACCTGTCCCGCCCTCATACCGCACCCCGCCCACCTGCTCCGTAGGGTCCGCCCCCTCGTTCCCGCTCCGCTCCGCCCTACACGCTCCACAGAGCCCAGGCCCGCCCCACTCTCTCCAACTGGTCCCGCCCCCAGCTCCACCCTGTCCCGCCCCACTCGGCCAGCCCACAGACTCCGCTCCGTGGGCCCGACACCGTCCCGCAAGCTCCACGAGCTCCACCTGGCCCCGCCCGCGGGGGGACCCCCCGCCCCACCCGGCTCCACGTGCTTCACGGG